TAATGCCAGGAGCTACGTTCGTAGCGTCCTTGCTACGTTCGTAGCGATGCCCTTTGTTACGTTCGTAGCTCGTGGGATCCGTGGGATCCGTGGGCCTTGCTACGGTCGTTGCTACGTTCGTGGGTCGCCTCGACTGGCCGTTTGCTTGTGTCATGGTGTGTCATCTAGACTCGACTGGTGAGGATGGTGACATTTCAGAGTTGAGTCTTGCTCAAGTTATATAGCTTCCCTCAAGTGATAATGATTCTTCATAGTATTTTTCAAAAATCTAGGGCTGGAAGAAATGAGTCAAGTGAGATAAAGTGTCTGGATTGTTGGAATGAAACGTCCAAGCAACGTTTGCCGTGAAACCGCATGTGTCGAACCAGTGGCTTTCTCAAGGAGTCGCCTGTCTTCCCAGGATGCCAGTGAATCCAGGAGCGGTTCCTGCAGCTCTTCCAAACGTTGTGACCTCAGCTCCAAGCCAAATCCTTGCTGGGTGGGACTCCACGACCGGAAAACATCGGAGGCTTTTCGTGGAGTTCGTGAAAATTCTGAAACAGAACAGCCAACAAGATCCGCCAAGAACCTTTTGCACCAATCAGCCAAATTTATTTACAGTCAGGTAGACTAGGTAGACTCTTGATTCTTAATAAAACACCCCTTTGAAGAGGCTCTACAATCCAAATATACACGGGGTCATCAGTTCACCAAGAGTCTACAATAGCAGTAAAAGGTAGCATCCACTGATCCACCTCCACTGGGTCCACCGAACGTATTGAAGCGCGCACTGGCCGGTCAGGTGCGGAGCGGGTCACGGCAATGACCCGGTGTTGGGAAGGAAGGAAGAGAAGAGAAGCGAACAAGGGCGAAGTCAACAACAAGGGTGAAGGTATTTGTTCAAACAAAGTTTCAGAAGGTGTTACATGTGTGAAATGAAATTGATATGACACTGCTTCCAAAGGTTGATGGACCGGGAGCTTGACAAACTTGGCAATACCATAGTCTATAGTCTACAGGTTCCATCTGGAAGGCTGTACTGAAGAAAGGCCTGTGAGTTTGTAAAGTCATAGATGTCCCCAACGCGCCTTCAATCTCCCCTCTTTTGTCTGTTCTCTTTTCCACGAAAACCACATTAGTTTCTGGGAACCTGCACAAGCCCTGCGGAGGGCGGGGGATGGAGTCAGCTCTGGAACATTGAGCCTGCCTCTGCGGAAGCTAGTCCAAGCTCGAACACACGCTCACACAGGGAGAGGTCGCCCCACCATGTGTTGGATCACACTAAGTTGCATCCACCTTAGTGCCTAGGGCACAACCAGTGATACATGATGTGGTATCACATCACACCTCTCATACAATATCTCATACATATCCTATTAAATATGATATGCAAAAAAACATATATCATATGTGTGATGATATATGTGTGGTTGTTAGTAGACAACAGCAACACGCCCAAGAATGTCCTCCACCCAGTGAACTCATCGCCTGAGGTCCTGAAATCTCCTCGAAGAACGTCGCTTCACCGGGCTCAGCGCGGCCGACACATCCTCCACTTCCTGGCAGTCGAGGGGGTGGTCGCTTCAGAGGACAGGTTCTGAACCGTCATCTGCCTGACTGTCTTCTTCGACATAAACCGATCGGAAGGGCTTTTGAAATGCCTTGGAAGCCTCTCTAAGATTGCCAACAATTCTGTCATGGCTAGCAGGCACCAATGCCATCCAATGCCTCAAGTTCTTCTCGAGGACTGGTGATTTTCCAAATCGTCCAAAGGCCTTGTGGACAAGTCAGTCGGAACATTTCAAGTGCAAGCTGGGCCAACTTCATCACTTTTGAACTGGAAACAAAAGTAGAGGAAGTGCATCCCTGTTCTGCCTTTGGACATTTGTTTAACCGAGAGGAGGGCTGACTGTTGATGCCATAGACACTCCAAGGAGGACAGTCCTCACGAGGATTCCCCACCGACTGTCATCTTGTGGCTGCAAGAGTCCAAAAGAGCAAACATACGTACATTTAGACAAATGTTCTTTTTAATATGTTCTGTTTCTTTGCCCGTGGCCTGCCCTGCCTCCTTACTAGTTAAGCAAGGGCCAACTTGTACGCTCCTAGCTAGTGACTAGTGGACGCAGGATAGTGCTCGGCGCTCGCAGTATTCATTTGGTTCCTAGATGTTTAAGTCTAGACCGTTTAGACTCACATAGACCCCTTCTCCCGCAACTGAGTCTGAGAGACAATTCGCAGAAGATCTGGCTTTCGTTCATTTGTTGCAGTCTTCTCAGTTGAACAAAAATAAAAGGAGGTCAGCAGCTTGGTTCTGGTGACCATCTCACAAAATACCCAGTCGGACCCCTTGGGACTCTTCCCCGATGGCGATCCCACACGCATCGGAAAGAACGGTCCCACAGTAGGTCTTCCAAAGCACCTGAGTGACCCAAAGCCAGCGCCACTGGAAGAGAAATCAACCAATCCGCGCCCCTCTGAGGCGTGGGCCGGCATGCTTGGGAAGTGGTGCACCAAGATGAGGCTCAGAAGCACCGTCAATTCAAAGACCTCAAAAAAGTGCCGGGTTCACCATCGAGGTACGCAGAGTAGGAGCGGAGCGGCGTAGCAGAGCTCGTTACTCTGCCCGGGGCTCGTGTCGGCGACTGTCCGAGAAGTGCGCGAGAATATTCCTTGTTAGTAGATGTTACTAGTATATTCTTCCTCCTAGTAGCGATGCCAGGAGCCCCTAGTAGCGTCCTTGCTTCTAGTAGCGATGCCCTTTGCTCCTAGTAGCTTCTTTGCTCCTGCAACAAGTTCCCTCAGATCTGGGATCTGGACCGCCGAAAGCATGCTGGAGAAAAGCAAGACATGAGCCAATGGGTACAGCCGCTCGAAGTAACGAACCTGTCACAGAACTATTAACATGTCGAAAGCTTCGGCCTTCCAGATTCAAAAAAGTGACGAAAGGCCAAGGTGCTTACAAATGTCTGAAGGTTCTGCAGTATACAGTATACAGAATTGCACATGATAAAGTCCATGGGATACAACATGTATGGCAGATGCCAATGGAGAAACTATAGAACAGGGTATTTTGTGCTGGTGGTGCAGGGTTTTCTCCACCAACAGTACAGTAGCTTGCGTTGGCCAAATGCTTCCCCAACTCCGGCCAAAAACTCAGTACGTATTCATGCAACGCCTCAGAAATCTTGTAACTCAAACAGAATTAAACACAGAGCCAAAAGCCGCACGCTTGCCCCACGCTTCGATTGCATCGCACAGCAAACAAGACGACCTGCGACTGTGTGACTGTGTGCCCGTCACTCTTCCACTCCCGCTCCGCTGTCACATCCCCACGGCAACAAAACGCCTGCTGCAGCAAGCCGGTGGCCAAGCCATGCACAGCCCTGCGTTCGTGGAGCACGGTGCATGCGATCGGGGCTCCAAGGTGGGTGAAAGCGTGGCGAAGAAGAGTACTCCGAGGAAAACTCACCTGGAAGGCGCCAATCCACCTGTTTTGGTCTTGGGAAAATGGTAATCCAAAGGGGGCATCCCATTCACATCGATGGTTGTCAGGGAGTGTACAGTATATAGATTTGTTGCCATGGGAGGTTTCGTTTACGTTGCTTGGTGATGGATCACACAGGAAGGCCAAGATGGGCGATTGGTCATTGGTCAATAAATGTCCATTTGGAGTTTCTCGGCATCTAAGCCTTTTGATGCCTTTTGAAGCCTTTTGAAGCAATTGCCTCCTTTGAGATGCTCCCAGATTGAGCTACCTACTGGTCTGGCAGCCGCATAGGCCTTTTCGTTCACCAAAACAGCTGGTCTGTGGATGTCCTTCGATTGATCCTCTTCCAAATTGCACCAGGAATTCCTCGCCCATCTTCCCTTGAAGTCTCTTTGGTAGAGTTCTAACATGTTCGAAGCATCTAAAATGGAGGGAGCTTAGTCCAACCATGGTCTGCCTGAAGACGCAAATCGCAGAGTTCAAGCAGCTTGTTTTCAGCGAATCGCGTGTTTAGAAGTCATGTGACTCCTGTGATCCTGATGTCCGGCACGAACGGGCGGATCTCAGCTCTTAAACCGTGGCTGCTCCCAGCAAGGCAAGCGGTTGGTCATGTACTCAGCATCTCCCAAGTCCTGGAAAGCGACCAAAGAGGAAGGCTGCTGGACAGTTCTGCACCAAAATGTCATGTGTTTATTGGGCTACTGGGGCGGAGGCCATTGCTACCAGGATGAAATAACCCTTGAGACTCAGACCCTTCAGACTCTTTCGGGGTGTTCCAGTGCTAAGCGCGACAAAAAACGAACACACAAATCTGATGTCTGCACTCTCACTCGTGGAGAAAGTGGAGCACAATTAGGCTCTTACAACACAAACACAGGCTCTTGCATTGGGCCATTGAGGAAAAGGACATTAAAACATCTAAAACCATCTAAATAATACTAAATAATTACGTAACATATAAACATCGCTCATTTGAGGGTTGACTGGTTGACTCGCCCCATGGTCCCCAAAAACTAGATCTCTCCTTCTTCAAGTTGGACAAAAGCTTCCAGGTGGGAATCCGGCCAGGTGAGTCATTCTTCTCATCCGAGCATCCTGATCGAGGTGTTTGGTTTGGCACGCTGGGAGACGGGGGGGGGAACAGTTGGCCTCTTGTGCGAGTACTTGAGTCGGGGACCAAGCCCATGATGCCTATGTCACAAAGACAGAGGTTGGCTCTTGGATGCTCTTGGACATAGTTCTGTGTTCAACAAAAAATACATGGCGAAGGTCGCAAGATCTACTGAATTTCTCAGAGTCTTCCTGGGCATCTTCATTTCCCATGACTGGGAAAGCTGCTACAGTAAGTCTTCGTCTCGACGGAGTTCGACCCGCTGTGGACGGGAACATGTGATCTCATGTCGCCTGCGAAGGGCTGTGCAATGCAAACCGCCACCTCCAGCAAGGTCTGATAGAGAAAGGGTCCAGTGGTGCCTCGGTAGGGAGGCCATTGCTTCTAGATCCAGTGGTGCCTCGGTAGGGCCCGCAGTTTTGAGTTCTCTGCGTTCTTCCCAGTCGGTGCCAGTTCGACGAAAGCACGCCCATCATCAGCCCCCCAAATTCACATTTGATGATCACACAAATCTTAACAAGAGGCTCATGATGAACTGGATCAGCACATCCTGCAAGTCTGCTGAGATCACTTCTTTGATGTTCTTCCCGCTCTTGGCCTGGGACCCAAACATGTCGGCCACTTCTGCAGTGGCAAAGGCAAAGAAGAGCGACTCAAACCGACTTCGAGCATCCAACCACTGACAGGGTGACACCCAAGGTCATGCCAAAGCTGACAGCTGTCACAATGTTGTTGACCTCGGTGTCCGGGGGTCAGCAGAGCACTCAGCACCCTTGGGTTGGGCGGACGTCTACGAGTGGTCCAGACATGGTCAAGGATCCCCTGATGTTATTGGTCTTGACAAGGTCCGTTTCCCAGTCGATGTCAATCACCAGTACTGTCAGATCCTGGCATTCACCAGCATAGCAATGGTCTGCACGTAGACGTACGGCGGTTGAACGCAAATTGCACCTTGCACCTGCAGACAGCCATGACGGTCCACCGTCCGCCGTCCGCCATTTGAGCTCTGTTGTATTCTGTTGTTGTCTTGCTGCTTAGACTGCTTAGCCACTATACACAATACAAAATACATCAAACCCGAACTCACGACTAAAAGCCTAGTTACTTGAGTGAATACCTGCTGGCCATGGACATGGAAAATGGATGAAAATTGGTTTTTTCGAGACCATCTTCATCAACAGCCGGACCATGCTCATCCTCCATGTCTGAGAACCAGTGGTATCATTCAAAGGTCCCGCCTCGCGGATGCCACCATAGGCCTCGCCCCATGAAGCTTCGCGTCGTCCCCAACCGAGTCATGCGACCAACACGTCTCACCCGATCTGGACTCGGTCAGAACGAGTCCCACGGGGCTACTCTTTTCACGGCCAAAAAGAGCTGAGACTCCTCCTCGTCCATGTGATTCCATGTGGGGATGGGTCCTTCCATGTTCACCCGTCCGCCATGGAAAACCGACCAACCACAAGGGGGTGGGACCTCCCCCAGGCATGACTGTCTCACTTCTCTCACGGATGCACCTGGTCAGCCAAGGACAAGATCTTCCCGTAGGTCGGTGTGGGCATCGCTGGGATTTCACCGTCCGAGGCCATGCGAGTGAGCAAGGAGGTCACCTGGGCCAAGCGCCGGGGGCACAGCCCAAAGGAGTCTATGAATAACTTGAACAAAAAGAGGAGTGGGACACGGTGGGTGGTCGACAAAGACACCATGCTTTGTTCATCGAACTGTTCATAGACATCTGAATAGCCTGCCCTGTACAAATGCTTGGACAAGCTTTGTGCATGTCTGTGTGTAAGGCTTGGATGCTGCTGACACCTGGCCACCCTCGGCTTTGAGAGTTTGAGCACCATCATGATCGATCTAGCAGTGGAGACTTAGCACAGGACCATGTGAAATGGTGGATCGCTCAGCTAGGCTGAGACCAGTTTGGTGCGCTGAATGCATCAAGACACCCAAACCCAAAGGGTCTGAGATGGATCTTCGACCTTTGCGAGGATCTCCTGGCCGCACGGAAAACAAACGGCAGCAGCAAGGTTTCAGGATCATGAATCGTCCCGATTGGGTACATCCTACGCCCCTGTGCAAGGATACAAAACCACGTAAAATGCGAACTTCCTGAGATTTCACTGGAAACAAGGCTTTAGCACGTGCAGGTGGAAGTCCCCAAAGGACGGCACCCCTTTCCCCTGGCAAAAACCGGCACTCTTCGGCTTGGGGGTCGTCCTACAGAACTCTCGGTGGGACGAACGGGTCCTTCTCTTTCGGATGGATCTTGGCCAAAGTCCCTGAGGACATGACTTGATCATCCAAGTTCTCTTTATCCTCGCACATAGCATCCTGAGCATCGATGGTCATGGTTTTGACCAGTCAGGAAGAGAAATCACGGTGGGTTCTGCAAACTGCTAGCAAGTGGACCAGGTCTGGTTGAATCAACACCCCAGGCTCCACGTCAATTGATTGATCAATCGATCAATCGATTGATTGACCCTTTCTATGGTCCCACAGACAGCATATTTAATATCATGTACATTAATACATTGCTTAGAATTGCACCACCTGTACGTACCACAAAGAAGCCACAGCTGAGGCCCACACGAATTTCACCGCGCGCCACTCCAAGCGCTCGTCCTTCGGCAAGGTCTGCCCTGAAAGACTATAGTGGAGGCCTCAGTCATCCCCATGCCACGGAGGGCCGAGCGATCGATCACCGCGATCAGCAGAATGTGGGAGGGCCAAGCGGCCATAGTATGCAATAATATGCCAAATGCATCCAAATCTAATTGGTATCCTCTAATGCTTACTTGGGAAAGAATGGGAAAGATATACTTGATAGATCTTGATAGCAGTTGATCGCCAGTCTTTGGGAACTCATCGACGTCTCCAGTCGATGGTAGATGGTTTCAAGAAGAAACCTGGGTACTTGGGGTCTTCGGAGCATGGCATCAATGAATTGCTTCCATGCGGTAGAGAAACGACACCAATGTTCAGCTCGTTTTGCTGTACCGGTCAAGACTGGCTTTCCGTGACGTGGGACTTTGATATCATTTCGCAGCTCTCCCCCAACAAGTAGGGAGCTCCAAGGTCCGACATCTCCTGGTTGAATCCGACACCCAAAGTGATCAGTCTCGGTCGGTCTCAGTCGTTTCACAAAGCATCGCCTGCATAACCGGCGAAACCAAGCCCCTGGTTCCTAGCCGAAACACTCACATCCAAAACCTCTCATCTTCGTGTCGGTTCCCAGGAGATGCTCGGAGAACGTCTTTTTCTCAGTGTTTCCTGAGTCTCTGAGCATCCACATTGTAGGCGGAGACCACGCAGTAGCGGATGCACATGTGCACACGTTCTTTGTTCGCACCTGCAGCGTTGGCCACAGCCGGGCCGGCCCGCGGAGACTCCACAGCGGACGGTGGGGACGGTATCGTAGCTAAAAGCTGAGCTGCCAATGGCCGCAAGCTGCATGTGCAAGGCTCGAATCGCGTTGAAGAGTGCGAGAAAGCCGCTGGCACATGCATACCTGACTGCACAACAAAGTTCCTGCGAAGTTAGAGAAAGGCAAAACACCTGGGCGAGAATACCTGGAGTATCCTGGAGTCAAAAGAAGTGGCAAATTCCTACAGCATTTGACAGCAGCCAGCCTTGGCAATTCAGTTGATGGCCTATGTGTAACCTCCCTTCGTTTCTCTTCGCGTGCCACGTCGTCAACGTTGTTTCGACACTCTCCACCACGTCGAGATGCCATCGGTTCACCGAGGAGGACAAGAAGAAACCCAGCAGCAAACCAACAATGGCTTTCCTGGGATGAGAGAGCTTGTAAGCTTCGCGAAACGGTGTAGCAGGAGCTTTGACTCATCTCTTTCTACCCCTCAGTTCCTTGCTGACCAGGGAGTTTGACTCGAAGGACAGGGCCAGGAGGGAATGGCATCTTTGGTCTCGTTTCTTGCCGTTGTTTCTTGCCGCCGAGGGACAGGAAGCCATTCAGCTTGCTAAATTCATCTGTCTCCAACCTGAAGTGATACAGAACACTTGCTGGCGTTGGAGTCCGCTGTCTTCCCTACCACTCTCTCACCTGAGAGTTTATGTAGGTTTGAGCTTCTGGGAAAGCGATGAAAACCACCGTTTCAGGGTTCGCAAGTTGTCCGCAAGGGCTCACTCTGAACTGGTCTTGGTATCGGGGACCTCCCTGACCTGCGCGGGTCCAGAAGATTGATATGGCTTCAAACAGCACATGCCAACCAAACACAAACAGTTTGCAGCCTCTCTCACTGTCTCATCTCATCCAGCCAATCCAAGCTGAACCCCCCCCATGGTCCCGCCAAAGCAAAGGATTCGTGTCTTCCAAATCCAGTCCAAAAAAGAAGGAAAAAAGACATGCGAGATCTAACCTTGAGTTCTTCCTCTCATGGTTCTCCATGATTATTCATCTCATGTCTTACTCCAAACCCATCCTTTTCGCTGAACGGGGCGCTTTTCGGGCTCCTTCACCATGAAGGCCACCCCCAGAGCGGTCAGCAGCGCCAGCACCAGGAGCAAACCCATAGAGCGCCAAAGGGAGCCCTGAAGGGAGCCGAGGATGTTCCTCTAAAGCAAGTTAGAAAATGAAGCAAATCCTCTTTGTTTGTCCCTTAGAAATCATATTTTTTGTGGTTACATGTCAAAATCCAGGAATGAAGCAACTAAGGACTTTGAGTGAGGACTATGACAATGAGGACACCGTTTTGAGGCATGGAGCCGGTGGAATCCTGTGTGGGGGTGGAGGTATTATAGTATTTGTGGCCTCAGGATGCCTCAGGTTCCTATTCCTATTCTCCAGACGCTGCAGCAAAAGCGGACTGCTCAGCATGGGGTCTTTCATCTGGCCTGTCTGTGGTACCCGGATGTTGTGTGCCAAGCTTGAATCTCGTATGGTCTCACTTCCGCTCTAAACCTGCCGGCTTTGGGGGTCTCTCCATCTCCAGCCCGCAGCACTTCGCCCCCAGGCCCCTGCGGTTGGCAGGCCTTCACCCAAATCGTGCCGGTGGTGGCGCGAAAGACTTCAAAGGTAATGAGCTTGCGAGCGTCATAGGACATGGAATCGGCCTCATCGTCCTGTGGAAGGAAGACATCCTCCAGCTGGAACTCCAAAACACCACAGGCACCGCTAGTTTTTACATGTTTGTCCTTAGGTGGTTTGAAGGTTCTTCCAAAAGTAGGGCATGTAGAAACATGAAATCAAGAAACCAACCAAGCAAAGCTGTGGGTGACATCAAGAACATGTTTTCTGATTCCATGGAAATTCATGTGTGGTCAGCGATACATGAACATATTCACCTAGTCATGAATGTCAATGCATCTCGATCAGTTCACAAATGCACCCGCAACACACTCCTCTGCGGTCTCTTCCACCTGGAAGTCTGGCTATCAAGCCATTCATTGTGCAGCGCCATGCAAATCCTCTAGCCAATTGTTTTAAGAATCATTTGCATGCAAAAGCATGTATCCCGCTGAAAACTACCATGGACCCTGAAAACCACTGGTTTGTAAAGAAAAACAGCCTTTCAGGGTGCCATTCTCAGGGTCCATGCTAGCATAACCTTCATCTCAAAGCTTTAGCTCTCTGCCAGGTCTTTCGAACAGAACAGAAGGGACAGTCGTTCTTGTCCTATACAGGTCCAAAAGCCATGGCTGTCTGGGCCTCCTCCAACATGTTTGGGTCTCTGAGAACTGGAAACCCTCTACCTCAAAGCCCTGTTCAATGATTGTTGTATCAAGTGCGTGTGTTGAGGCAAACAACCAACACATCTTGAAAAAATACTGTACATTGTTGATGATTTATGATATCGGTTATTGTTGTGTAACCGCACACCGACTGCACCTAGATCGATGCTGTATTGAAAGCAATCCCGTCTCGCCAACGGCAACTAGATGCGGTCGCATCCCTGCCTTGGATTTCTCCAGGAGTGGTTGTTTCTCAATATCTTCGCCCATCCTTCAGGCAGGTCTTGGTCAAAGAAAAGCTAAGGAGTTATCCTTATCATGCTGCCAAGCACAATTGCTTGCAATCCAGTCAATCAAGATGGAAACAAAAAAGGCCAGCAATCCCATTGCATGTCAGGGATGTTTGTAGAGTGTCTTTCATGGATAATTTATGATAATTTCCTGATGTTCCGTGTTCATTGCTTGACGCTTTTTCTTGACGACCAGCAGAAAAAGGGCTCCAAACCCAAGTCAAGAAGCCCACCTAGAGGAGCAAGGCGATTACCATACCAAACTACGTTGGTTTCGGAGCTGGGCCACTGGGTGGCTGCGGTCGGTCGGGCAGGTTCCAGCAAGAGTGGATGCCGTCCATCCTCCCGCCCGCGTGGAACATAGCTCTTCATTGGCAACAATTTTTGCAGCAACAAATGCACTGTGGTATCCTGAAGGGATTCCCGGTGCTGGTAGGATGTCCACGTCCGTATGCATGCCCCCATCCTCCCTCCCAAGCTGAGTAAAATGAGGACCCTCTAGCACCTCAGAAATGAATCAATCCATTGAAAGTACTTTATGCATTGGCATTCTTCTCAGTCGTGATTGATTTAAAAGCAACTGTTGAAAGGAAAGTCCCTCTCACCCATTCAAGGAACTACAAGACCTAGAGCAGGCGCGCCGACCTTTTGCAAGATGAAGGGACAAGCCATCCATGCAGGACTCTGCCAACAGGCTTCCCTTCTCCCCCTCTTCCTTAGCTGCTCCACAGCTCAGGGTGGGCGGGGGGGAAAAGCTGTGTGGCACAGCACCAAACTTTAAACCAGGGAGCAGCTGCTCCTGTTACCAGCAAGCTGTTCAAACTGACAAGGTACGCATTAATGCTAGGTGGGAGAGAGGGTTGGTGTTCCTGCCTACCGCGACCAACCGCGAACACCGGTACCTCTCACCCATCCTATCATTCAAGGAACTACAAGACCTAGAGCAGGCGCGCCGACCTTTCGCAAGATGAAGGGACAAGCCATCCATGCAGGACTCTGCCAACAGGCTTCCCTTCTCCCCAAACTTGCCTGTTGGTACCCTTCTGCACAGGCGCGCCTACTAAACCCCAAAAAAAATCGAGTGACTGTGCAGCCTACGCACCGCAACTACGGGAACTGACAACTAAGGACGGTCGAATTCAATTAGCGAACTTGGTCGCTGCATGAACTTATACCACGGGGCCAGCACGTCCGCCAAGGTGATACGCACCCGATTTGCTTCAGGGAACTTGGCCCTCATGACCAAGGGCCATGGCTTCGCTTCTGGGTGGTTCAAACGACTTAGCAAGTCAGCCTCTTCATTCCGCTCGCCTGCCACATGGGACAGCTCCAAGGCCACTTGTAGCTCCAAAGCCGCAAAAGCCAAGGCCATCAGCGCAAAGCACAGCGGCGGCGCAGTGGACATGCCCTTACTGCAAGCCGCAACCACTGGCATGTTGTCGCCATATTGTCGCAAGCGCACACAGTGCAACTGAGCGTTCCCATCAACCTTTGCGCGAGCCAGAACCAGAGCCAGCTGCGCTAAAAGCTCCAGAGCACATATAGCTGCTTGCATCTTTTCCGGCCACAGCCAAAGATCCGGTAAATGGCCCTGCTCAATTTCCAGGTGGAACCAAAACAGTTTCTTTGACTCCAAGGCATGAAACCAACCTCCTATGCCTGAGAGAGCAGACCCGGCCCAGGCATCCGCCGCAGCGTCCTCAGCCACCCTCTCACCGGCCCAAGAGAAACTGTTGGTGCAAAGCACCCGCTGTAAAGTGTGCAACGAGGACAACGAAACCGGATCCAGATCCACACAGGGAGTCCATGCCGAAAACCGGACCCAAATCTTGCCCGTGATCGTTCGGGGCTGTTGCAGCAGACGACGCGCATTGATGACACAATCAACTGTCTTGCCGCCCACAGCGCGCAAACGCCACCCCTTTTGAATATCGCTTCTTGCAGCAGCAGACTGGACTACCAGCCCGTCCCCCAGGATCATGGCCAGCTCTTCTAATTGCCCCAAACTCAGGCACTGCAAGCGTGATCCTGGCTTGTTCAGCTTGATAAAGAGAGGCGCAAGGAAAGCTCGCAATGCTTGAGTCGCCCAAAGCAGAAACCCCAAGAGCTGAGAGAGCTTCTTCCGAGGCACCCGTCGCGGATGCAACCTCCACCAAGCCAGCTCCCTAAGCACCTTCGCTTGCTTGCTTTCCGGCAAGGACGCCCAGAAACCAGAATGCAAGGACAACTGCCACCCCAAATAGGTCAACTCGGAACCCAATGCCAGTTTACGCCAGGACAATGGCACAGCCAAGATTTGCAAAATAGCCAGCACCAGCACCACCAGCATCGCGAACGCCCCCCGCGGCAGGAGGAATAGAAAATCATCCACATAAACCGCCCCCAGGTGGCGGTGGCGCACCAGGAAGTGTATGGTTCGTAACAGCAAAGCAGAAAGCCTCGACCACCAATACGCCGACCACGCGGCCCCGAAGTGGTTGACCACGTATGCGTAGAATTCTCCTTCAAGTGAGAATACCGAAAAGCCCACATCTTCAGCAGCCGTACGAATACCGAAAAGCTGTGTGGCACAGCACCAAACTTTAAACCAGGGAGCAGCTAGCAAGCTGTTCAAACTGACAAGGTACGCATACCAACCGCGAACACCGGTACATCACTGGACTGTACCTACCAACCGAGACAAAAGCCGGGACAGGAAAGTGCATCGTCCACTTCGTCATCCTGTCGAGGCCCACCTCGCATCCTCGAGCACTGCCTGCAAGGCATCCTTGTCAAGCATTTCATCGAGCCTTACTTGATGAAACAAGAACCCAACAGCCACCGTTCAATTGGGTTTCGGGAGCCTGCAGGGCCACCATAGGGGCCATTATGGGCCATCCGGAACAAACGCGGTCAGTTTGACTTGCGGTTTGCGGGCGTCTTGGGGAAAGCTCAATGAGACGAGACGCACCATGTCAAGCATCTGACGACCAACAAGCATCAGCCAAAAGTAGCACAATTGATGTTGGAAATTCATGAAATTAGACCACCAATGACCACCAACCAGCCCTCTGTCAAACCAAGCGCAGCCATTGAAGAAGATTTCCGGAGCCATCGGAAGACTATGGCAATGATGGCTTGTAGAGTTATTCCATGAAGGACAGGGGTGAGGCAGCAGCTGTGTTTGAGCTTCCAACTTCAAATCCTCGTGTCGATGAACTGGCCAATCCCTCTTCAAAGCCCTGCACCAGGGGCTTTGGTTGTTCAATGGCAAAGCACGCTCCACAAAGATTGTAAAGCAAAAGCATGTAAAAACATGTAAAAACTATATAACATTATATAACATGTGATGGATGCACGGAAACAACACGAACTGCCTTGCGATGTCAAGCAAATAAAAACCTGTGCCACGCTTGTGATGCCTGGTGGGGATCCGAAGATGTGTTCGCGCAGACTCGAGTCAGCCAGTCGTCGTCACATCACCCGACAGCCGACAGCCGCCGCGAAGCCTTCGCACATGGCGTTGTAGATCTGCTGTGCAGGCGGAGAGGAAGCACTCCAACTGCGCGGCGGAAAAAAAAGGAGACTGAAAGAGTGAGACAAAAAGGAACAAGAAGCTACTAGTAACAAAGGGCATCGCTACTAGTAGCTAAGAAGAAACTAGTATCTCCTGGCCTTACTACTAGTAGATCTAGTAGCAAGAAGCTACTACAGAAAACTTCCTAAGATCCCGGCAAAATCAAAATGGCTGTCATGAAATCAACTGAGAAAGTAAAAAGGAGACTGGACCATCTCTTGGTCCCCAAAATAGGACCTCATTTGCATGGTGTGTTGGCAGGTGGCTATTGCTCTCCCCTGTTTTCTTTTAAGCAGCACGACCTTCCAAAATATTCCACAATCATAGCGCGTTTGAGGACTCACTCGGCTCATCTCGAATCCCTCTTTTTGAGGTCACAGCAGCCGAGACTCAGTCTACCACCGCCGGTCACGCAGTCGGATGCCGTCGGCCCCGCGAAGCGGACCTCGCCTCCATTGAGAGCACCATTGCCAGCAGCAATGACCCCAGCGACATCACCAACGTCAGCGCCGCCAGAGAGGCGTAGAGCTGCCCAAACGAAACGGGGGACAGCGAAGGAACATCCTGAAACTTTGCCTCTGGCCATTGGGGGACTGATGGGTGAAAAGGGATTACAAACAGTATATATAATGCGCATATACTCTAAGCTGCTTTCTTTATATAGATCATCCCAACTCATTCCACATCGTCAACTGAATCTTTACATTGCTAGCCTTTTTTTAAGTTTAAGCGGGCATTCCCATCCTGAACTTATTCCCTCATGAGTCAAGAGGTTTCTTTGGCTTTCAAAAACACAACTGCAACAAGAAACAGCGGTTGGCATCAGCATCAGCGCTTGATTTTGAATACAGATTAATCCCATTGATCCCGACCTCGAGGAAGAAGTTCTGCAGTCCAGGGTATTCGGTTTCGGCCTCGCCGAAGATTGCAGCTGAAGAAAATCATCGATCTCCGTCCCCCCAACAAGACACTCACCTGCAGACCGTGGTTTCTGATCGTGTCTGTTCCTGCGGATGGCACACTTTTGCGATTGGAAGGGATGACTGATGGCATCTGATGGCCAATGGTGACTGAAGAGCTCTTAACTTCAGACGAATATGTTGTTGAACATCAGGCCCCCCCACCATGCATTTTCATACAGCTCTCTTCTTCTGCCATGTGAACATCACCAGAAAGTCCCAGCACACGAAACATCAATAAGAATCTGTGACACGTGTTTCTTGAGACACCTGGATGCATCTTGGAATAACGACCAAGATGGACCAAGGAAAAAATAGAAAAGGAAAAGAATTTAAAAAATAAGTAAATAAGTTGTTTAAAAACAAATATATATATATATATACTTTTATTTATATCTTAGAGACCAAACAATCATCTCTGCAGGCACCTACCCCCATAGAACAAAGGACCGTTAACCACCCACACATCTCGATTCCACACATCTCCACACGTGCATCCGCCTCGGTGTCCGGAAAGGTGCCCTCACAGACGGACCCGAAGCCCACCACCAAGACCAGAGACTCAGATCGCGGAGATCGGAGCTCAGGTGGTTTGACCCTGGCCCGACCCAAAGGATCTCTTTTTGGGGATTTGGTACGGGTCTGGTATAGTAGCAACAGTAGCATGGTAGACGTGGCACTTGGTTCAGATATGCTGGGCTTTGCTCTCTTATATATATATATGGTTTTTATTGTGTATATATATATATATACAATATATAATATCAATTGGTCTACCCATGGTCTGCCACATAAACATGTACCAAATGGTTCCTTTGCCAAATGGTCTCGGAACTTGGGCGATGGGTCAGCTGCGGGGAGGTCCTCAGAAACACTCGTGTTTTGATTTCATGAGCCCAACCATCTTGGTCATGTCGCGGGTACATGCGACGACGGTGTCGGGAGTCTCCCAGAAAAGAAGGAAAAAAAGCTTCTCGCGCTGCTTCTCGCGCTGCTTCGGAGGGTGACATGCCTATACATGTCTCACCTCTTGGAGCCCCGGGCAGACATGACCATCAAGTCTTGAAGGCTCCGGATGACCACCGTGACCTGACCGTTCCGTTCGTTCCGCGGCCGCGGAACGGTCGGGGAAGGCCGGCCTGATCGCGCATTTCTTCGCGGACGGTGTTGATCATGTCAATTCGAACCTTAGTGAGGAAGCCAGGCTTGCTTTCTGGATAGCTGAAAGGAAAGCTTCAAATACTGTCGCTCATCAGGGCTAGATGAGGCATCTGTGCTCTCAAGTTGAAGTCCTGTGAACCCAGAGCAACTACATTGTACCATATTGTACCATTCTTTGGTAGGTATTCGGGACCATTTTATTTGAGGAGATCTGGGTTATCAATCAGGGTGCCCCCATAAACCCCAGGCTGCGACTTTGGAGGGTGTGTGGTGTGTGGTGTTTGATCTTCCAACTGACTGTTTGTCATCAAAAAAGATGAAGATCGCAGCCAAAAGGAACTCTGATCGTGCGAGGCTCGAACCCGGACTTCAATCATGCTCCTCGATGCTCGACACTCCCCAGCAACACTCCCCAGCCTGAATTCCAGTGCTTGCACCCGCAACGATCAACGTTGAATCTGAAAGTTTCCAGCTTGGGGAGGAGAAGAGTTTTGAAGAAGTGTGTGGGTGTGGGTGTGTGTGCGTGTGTGTGGTTTGAAGCCCGTGGGGGGCCCCCTGCCTCCTTACTTAGTTAAGTACGCGCCTACTTAATTAAGTAAGCTCCTAGCTACTTAAGCTACTAGTACTGGACGCAGGATAGCTCACGCTATTGATTTGGCTGCTAGATTTGTAGGGAAACTGAATTGGAGCAAAGCAGTAGCCCCAACGCGCCCCCAATGGGCCCCAGGCCATTCGCAATGCTGCGGCACATTCTCGGCGGCTCCACGTTTCATGACGCTCGCAGGCCTCGCATAGACGGCAAGTTTCGGGCCCCAAACTCAAAAGGAAACATGCGAAAACATGCGCAACAAGTTGGCTCCTGTCATGCCTCGACCTGACCTCTTCACCTACCCTGAGCTGTACTTCCCTACCATCTTTTGCCTCACAGCTTGGCAATGGCTGGGTGCTGGGTGCAACTCCAACAGGTGCCGGCTGAGCTCGTCGTGATGCACAAAACGGCTGCGTGCGGACCCTCCGGAAGCATTGGCTGATTCTAACACGGGCCTTGTGCTGCTGCAACACGCGAATGGCCTCAAAAACAAGGCATGGAGCTGCAGTCTCTGCACAAAATGTCAAAAAGAAAACGCCAGTTGCTTCTCATCCAAAACACCTAAGAACACGAGGCGTCGGTTGGATCGTTCCTAACAAGGACAAAGTAACCGGGATACACAAAAGAAGCTGTCACTGTGTTTTGTGTTTTATCGTGTGAGAAACACTCAATTCACGCTGACGTGGGGGCGGACCCAGCCCCTCTCGAAACTTCACATCGCACAACGTCGGGAGCGCGGCACCTCTGCGACGGTGACACTCAGAAAGCCAATGCTTTCCCACATGGCGGGGCAGGCATCCCAAACACAGACATCTAGCCAAGTCTGCGCACATGGGTGCTAAAGCACCAGCAATCACAAGCGAGTGGAGAAAAAGAACTGGACGATATAAAACTCTCTTCCATGTCTGACATGCAAGGACACTGTTGCAGCAGCAAAGAAGCTGCAGTGACTGGTTGGAATGGGTAGTTCTTCTTTCAGGGTTTGATTCACACTTGCCTGGATTCTACTTAGACCAAGGACTGGCTATGACCTCCTGAACTTCCATCTATATCATCTATGTTGATCACTTCGGACCAGAAACCGGCAGCTCAAGACATCACCAGTCACAAAAAGAAAAACGACTGAACTCTGATAGCATTCACATGCATTCATACCCCACATTAGACCACCAGCATGTGTGGCCAAGCTTGAGTCACAAACGCCCAACACAACAGACTGCACAGCTAAGAATGCCACTGAAAGACCAAGGTAGATCTGTTTGTCCAATCATATAGCTTATATGGACACTATGGGACCTTTTGCCTGAAAAGATCTTTTTCGATTCATGCTGACGGCAAACAATCCTGCTCTGCGGTTTCTGCAGTAGCTGCCGGCAGAGCCTGAACAACGGAAGCTCCTGGATGTCCAAAAAAAGAAAAAAGAGAGACCAAGACCGAGGTTGTACAAGATTCGCATGGGGATTGATCGGGTTGACTGAGCATCTTCATCCTCACAAGCTCCTTTTCCTCAACTCACATGCCCATATATGCCCCAAAACATTCCAACCAAAATTCCATTCATGCTAAGCTGCTAAGCTGCTACACCTCTCTCTCCAGCATGTTCCGCTCCATCTCACCCAGGCCTCCTCCGCCTGCTCCGTCGGATCCGTCTGGGGAAGCGATCGCCGATCGCCTGCAGCGCTGGGCGCCTGGAGAGCGAGCCCAAAGCTTTTTAGCAAAACTCAACCAATAGCAATGGCCTCCAACCTAGCAAGCTATATTACACCCTGGAAGCAGTGAGTTCAAACAGAAGCTGAGAAGAAAGTGAACTCAAGTGAACCAAAAAATAGAAATAAACATGCGGGACATCTTCAGAGTTGTGGACGTGAAGGAAAAGGATCCTCCGTGCCAAAGCAAATGTTAGCCGTTAGGTCTCATATGGTCTCACAGCCATAAAGTTAAAGTTATCCCGGCAAGAGGACCCAAACAGTGTTAAAGTTCGAAAAGGGCGAAAAGAAAGCCGAGGGAAAAAAAAAAGAGCTCGCGCACGAGAACACCCATATGAGAGCACAACCTCGAGAGCACACATACACAACGCAAGTGCGCGAGACCGCACATATCAGAGCACACGCGCGTATGAAAGCACCACGAGGCGAACACGCATACGAGAACACCCAGGTAATGCGCAATGCAATCCCTTGCATATGTAACCACGCCAGATCACGCAGAGATGAACTGTCGGGAATGAGAGCACACAGGTAACACTTGCAAATGCAAAAAATCAAACAAAAAAGAGCACGCAAGTTGAAATTGCAAAAAATAAACGAAACGATTTCTACCTTAGAAACAGTACTCTCTAGGCGACAAAGGTCTAGAGGTCGGGAAAGCAGTCCAAGTAGAGACTAAGAGAGATCTAAATCTAGATACAAAGCTCTGTTAGCCGTAGAGGTCTTAGAGATCTGCAAATCTAGAAGTCGAGAGAACGATCTGCAAGTCTATAGAGACCGAAGGGATTGAGAGATCTAAGCCGAGTGCTTCGACGCAAGAGGTCTTAAAGTCTAGATCTAGGTCGCGAAGTCCAGAGGTCTAGCGATCTAGAGGTCTTGAGATCAAGAGATATCAGAAGTTCTCTGCTAAAGGACTAGAAGATCCTAGAAGCAACAATCATTATAGTCTCAAGGCTAGAGTTTGAGAGGTCTGGAAATCTAGAATAATCTAGAGGTCGAGGTCTAGAGAGCACGAGAGCACAATCAGCAGACACTCATCTGAGAGCACGTGTCAGGCGCCTGCACTTCGAGGTTCACAAAGTGCGGTGCCTGCCACGAAGTCTGCACTTCGAGGTTCACAATGTGCTGCGCCTGCCACAAAGTCTGCACTTCAAACTTCACATGGCGCAGTCCTGCCGAGGCGCTTTGCTGCAAGAGCGCTTCCAAAGACAACATCAAGATTAAGATACCAAACCGCAGCTTTCGCACGAGACTTCAGTGACTTCCCCCAATTTCTGAAAACGAGCCACATGTCCAAAAGTCACGCTTCCTTGCACCTGTCAGGAAAACAAGCACGTCGAAGATTACCACCATGTCCAAGGTGCCGCGCTTGCCACGAAATCTACACACCGAAGTAAAACCACTCCGATCCCCTGCACCTGTCACGAAAAGTCGACCTTGGACCAACCAAACACAAGGTTTCCCTTGTGCCTACCACGAAAAGTGACCACCATGCCCGAAAATGCGCACGGCACCACAACGAGAGCGCAGTCGCGACAAACACCCGCCGCGCCCCACCAGATTTTGCGAGCCTGCGCAGTCAAAATGCACTTCGAGGACTTCGAGAGGGATGAATGTAGTGTAAGTAGCAACGAAATAGCCGGACGCCCCGATGAAGCACCTCGATTAAACACCGGCCCTTACACCTACCGTAAGAACCCTAGTGTGACCACACTGTTTGGGGGTAAAAATGAATTAAAATAGCATGAAACCTGCTTGCCCCGCTCCTCAGGTGCTGCATCCGGTGCAATGCGCTGGGCAGTGGCTTCCTGCGCTAAACCGTTGGGAGGCACATCGACCATGGCGCACCCCATTTTCTTGGTTCGGCACCGTCTTCCACTCGGACTTAGGAACCTCTTGCAACCCAATCAATCCGGAGATATGTCTATTGGCTTTACACGTTTCTTCTTTCGACCCAAGAATCATGGTCACCTCCTCGGGTGGAGCTTCTGCAGTCTCGAAATGGGGCGCCAACTCCTAGCCCGGCAAAGGGCAAAGCCACGGTGGTCCGGAAGTGAACTAGCAAAGACAGCAAAGAAGCGTTGGCAGTCACATCATTAGACCCTACATGTGCATAATTCGCAGACATCCTTCAATATGCAGAGCGTCGGAAATTCTATGAATATCAAGATTGCAACAACTCGTTCTCTTGCCAGCCGGAGCTCACTTGAATTTACAGTATAATATATATATATACAGTTCAAACATGTTCAAACAACAAAGTCTCTGGTTAGTTGATGCAAATAGGACAAATGACAAAAAACATATTCAAAACTTGAAAATTGTTAAAACAAATGACAAAGACACCGCGAGTACCGCTCGAAACCGGGGATTCCCAGCGGCCCTCAAAGGAGGGGGGCCTCAGTGGGACTCTGCTCCAGCCGTTGGAAGAGCGTCCCTTCCTGGTTCCAAGGACGGCATGGGAAGGAAAGAAAAGGGAGTGAGTTGATCTTGTTTCATACGGCTGAACTGCTGTTTTGTGCCCCAGCGCACTTCCTTTCTGTTTGGAGGCTTCATGCATCATGTGCAGGATGATCTGCAGTTCTTGTGTAGGTTGCCATGTTAGTTCTTGGGACGGCAAATTGTAAATTCCAGTTGTGTGATGTTTTTCTGAGACCAATGCCTTTGAATAAACGCCTTACGCTGCAAAGTCCATGCTGGCGCCTCATCCTCCACGCGGAGAAAGTCCAAGCGCTGTCGATGCAAGACCCTGGGCGGGCGACGTCGGGCGGATCGTCGAGTTCGTGGTCACGAGGTGTATGGATCAAACATCAGTGAATAAAGTTTCTGAGAATGCTTGGCCACGCATTGTATGACATCTTAGAAAATGGAGACATATATGGAGCAAGTGGTTCTTGACATTCAAGTCACAAGAAGAGGGAGTCGCACCTCTACTACATTGAAACTACTACTGGCAACATTGCAGTCCCAAAAAAACAATTTCCGCCTGCCAATAGGACCTGTCCATGCCGGGATCTGCTTCCTGGCGCTGATCTGCTGTTGATGGAAGACATCTGGCACCACTGAAAATCACTTCAATCACATCACATTAGCTAAGTGTCCTTTAAACAATCTAGGAACCAAATGAAAGTGCGAGTGCTTCTTCAAGGAAGCTCCCTTGCCCTCAGCTTCCTTGAAGAAGCGTGAGCTATCCTGCGTCCTAGGTAGTAGCTTACACTTCAGCTACCTCTCCCTATAAGGCCTACCCCCCGGGCGAAAAACAACAAAGACCTTCAAATCCACCGCACGCATGGCCGCTGGCCCCACCTTCTTTGGACCAATGCGAAGAAACCCGCCACGAGGATCAGTAGCACCGAGAGGACCAGGATGGCTGATGCCAGGGGCGACGATCCCTGGCGCACCACGGAGTCACTGCAGCCGTCGCGTCGATCGCCGCAGTACGTCAGAAAGCATCTTCCTGTAGAAGTACCGTGGATACTGTAGGAGTATCTACATCTATCTATGTATATCTATCTATTTATATTATGTATGTATATATACATTTGGTATGTACGCAAAAAGATGTATGTGAAATGACCAAGGTTGAAAGGTGAGTCGATCCACAGGAGTTCGGAGCACCAAAAGAAGGCCCTCGGCCCGATGAAATCTCGTTGTGGTTGGACTAGTGACTAGTTGAAAGCCTTTTGGAACCTTTCCCGATTTGGCTTAAATAAACATTTTAAAGTGATAAAAAGGGCTGTACAAGATCGTTTCTTCTGATCCTCTGTTCCTAAGTTTGATGCTTCGTGCCCCTGTTTTACCCAGTGTTTCCACGAGCCAGCTTGACCGGTGGGGGGTCATCCTTTGCCTGAAGCGTTGCAATGATCCGAAGCACCTTAGTCCCCATGGAGTTGAGACATGTTGGTCTCTTGGTCGTTAGTTGCCTGTTCAATCCTCAATTTCAGTTTGAAGGAAGGCTTGAATGTTTATTGACATGAGGTGGGAAGCTGGCTTCAGCGAGGTTCCCACTTCTTGAAACCACAAAATGAGAGGCCTCTCTCACTTTGTTGTGCACTTCTGAGAACATCTGGGCGTCAAAGCATCTGGTCGTGGGATATGACCTCAAAGATCAACATTGAGCTGCACGGGGTGAAACATATAGACTGGTCCATTGCCAGGCCAACTCTTGCTTTTGATTGAGCGTGAAGCATGAAGAAACGTGTTTTTTGCAAACGGAATCTGCTCCAATGAACGAACGGAATAAAAGCTGCTGAAGGAAGCCAAAGGCAGAGGTGGGTTCTGGTGTCCCGTCAACAGTCTTCTAAACCAGCTAATTAGCATGTTCAATCGTTTATTGATTTTGTGAGTTGTCTTGGGACAAACGATTCCTTTGGTTTGCTCTTGCAAGACATGCGGATCTGAATCGCTCGTCCCCGGCACTTTGAGTTACAGCTGAGATGATTTCATCATGTTCCATGACTTTTACATGTACAATTCATTCTTCCTTCATCGCTGGGGCCGGTGAAGTCCAGCCTGACGGGCATCTATGTGAGATTGGGCCAGTGAATTCCAACGCCGCGAATCATCTGATTGGTGATCAAGCCCCTCAAAGACAATCAACATATGTTGTCCAACTTGGAGGTCCCAAGTCCGGTCGCAGATCTAAAAGTCACCCTACTCAACGCCATCTAATAGTCCCAGTGACCCAGTGTATCCATTAGCTCTCGTTTCCACCGTTTTCAACCCGGCGATAATGAGACGAAACCTCGTCACCGAGCGGCGGTTCTGCAAGCTGTTGGGCTCTTCAAAGGCAAAGCGGCCGTTACAGCGCTCCTGCAAACAGAACCGAAACCGACGTGACAAGGTCGGTCTGGGGGAAGTTCCACGCTGGTGGTGTCTGTCTTTTGGTTTAGGTCTTCTTGAGCTCTTCCAAACGGAAGCTGTCCAAATCAATAGAAACCTTTGAGTGCTGAGGGAATTCTGGAAGCAAATCCGAACCACTGAACCACTGTACTTGCGACGCTTTAGAACATCCAGGGTTTCTTTAGGGGTCTTCCAGTAGCAGTGAGACATGGTCCCATGACTTGCAGGAGGTCAACGGGGTAGGCAAGCCTTTGTGGTCTCATGCCCTCTGAAAAGTGGTTTCCACAAAATCCTATGACAAGAAAACCTACCGAAAATGGACGTGTCCTGTAGACTATTCTCCAAAGCAAGTCAAAGGAATTCGATTGAAGCAACATCAACCAACTGTAACTGTGAAGTGCTGAGCTGGCATCTCTCTTTGCCATGATTGAAAGAAAACGTGTAGAACATGGTAGAACAGCCACGGTCTTGTGCAGATCCTAATTGTGTTTTTTTCAGTTTGCAGCAGGGTATCAAAAACCTTCTTCAGAAGGTTCGGCACAGAACCAGCTCTTACCTAACTGACTGGTTACTTTTCTATGGTAAAGTTAAATTTCTTCTCCAAAGAAAAGTGTATCCAGCAAAGGCTTCCAGGAAGCCGGCCAAATGCTCGAGCAATGCCCACGGATCCTTTTTGCACGCGGCAGTCTCTCTGCAGAGCACCTATCCATTATGCAACTGCAGGTGCAGGAACGAGCCTGTCACGCCTGCCATATAAAAAGGTCAGATTGATCCGCCGATTGCTGTAACCTAGATCCGCGGACAAGGCCATTTGGTTGATTCCATGCTGTGCATAGGTTTACGGCTTATTATGTAGATTCCCTACAAATATCCAGCAAGGGCAAGGGCATTGTTCCTATCAAAACGTGTTGGTGGACAACCAGCAGCAAGCGCGATTGAAACCTTTTCTAATTCAAGGTCCAAAATCTGACATGTGACCATCGACGGAGTTCATGTCATGCATATATATATATACCAATCGCTTGAGGGCAGTTGCTCAAAGCAGTGTCATTCTCCCTGTGACGAACCTGGATTTGCCCTGAATGAATGACCCACAATCCCACAAGCTCTCTTCCATGCTTCTGAGGAGCCTTCCCGGAAGGACATGTCGTCGGTCTTGTGGAAGTAGGTCGAATCAAACAAAATCTCAGTCAATCCCACACAGAGCCAGATCGAACGCGGTGCTCTATTCAGATCAGGAAAGCTAGCAGCTACCTTCAAATGTGTCTAAGAGCGGCTTCTCGTGACCCTCCACGTCCATGCCATGCTTTGAATCATCCTGTCTCGGACTACACAAGAGGCTTGGAGTTGTCTTCCGAACCGGTCGCACACACGTGTGACGCTCCGAATGGACAGGTCGTCCGAGTTGCTGCTCTGTTCTGGACATAAGGAACGGTGAGATTCCAATGGCCGGACTTCGCCAGGATCTCCTCGCGGGTGAGGGCCATAAATTGACGGTCTCCACACGTGGACTCTTTGACGGAAGTGTTGACGATGTTTGATGAAAAACCTTGCAGACTATATACATTGTATCACACACACGTATATATATATAATATATTGTAGATTATTGTAGCATAGAAACTGCGATTCTTCCTGAGTTCATCCCATTGGTCCCTGTTTCTTTCTCGAAAAGTCCAATGTCCTAACTTCAGCACAGAAGCATCAGCAATAAGGAACATGAATCTTCATATGACAAATCTTCACAAATCACCACCATCATGGGGTACATGGCCATTCCGTCCAACATCGACTTCGACATGGCCATGTCACCATGTCCTGTATTTCAGAGTTCTTGCTTTCGCTGTTGTACTTCTGAAAGCTCCACGAGGCCGGTGGCCCCACGCCATAGATCACCAGTCCACCCGAGGGATGTCGCGACTCATCGGAGGACCAAAGATTCGCCTTAGTGCTCCCAACGCAGCAAGACGCGGTGCTGTAAGTTCGGGCTGCCAGGTCCGTTTTGGCACCCCTCTCAAGTTGCTTGCAGGATGCTGCAGGCCTTTTTTTTTGAAAAATTCCCCACTGGCTTACAATAGCAGTGCTGGTCTGCGGCTACAAAATGCCTCAGCCCCTCGAAACCCTAATTAGTCTGATATTAGTCTGTATGAATGACGCTACTAGGAGCAACGGCATCGCTACTAGGAGCAAGGACGCTACTAGGGGCTCCTGGCCTTACTACGACTACAACAAGAAGCTGCTAGTAACAAGAAGCTACTTGAGTAGAAGTCCCAGTATGAATGCTAGCAAAAGAAACAACAGCTGCGCTTCCTCTGGCCGATTCTCTCCGACCCCAGCGAGAAGAATCCCTTCGCACCTCCGAAGGCGTCAGGTAGATGTTGATCTGCAGCTGTGAGTCATCCGCGTGAGCTCCGATGCCAGGCAGTTTGCCATCATACATGTAAGCCCAAGCGTTCCTGGCAACAAGAGGAGTTCTCTCATGTTCTTTCAGACAAATTCTTGAAAGCATCCTTCCCATCCTCAAACAGAAGAAGTGCCTGATGCAAAGTGGCGGATCTGGATAATTTTCAAGAATCCTCTATAATATAATTAGTGGAGATATAATGAGATATAATAGCTTCCTTTTCTCTTTGTACCCCGCGCTATGAGTTGGTGAAACTAGACAAGACTTATGGCAGGCATTGAAGTCAAATCGGCGGTTCGGTTCACTTACCACCTACCCGGTGTTCACGGCGCTCGTTCGACCAGCGTTCGTCTTGACTCGCGCGTTCGTTCCGACCCGTTGCCGAGTGGCTGCAGGACTAAGCCATCCAGCACATCGGCGAAGCTCCGCCGGATCTCCTCGAAGCTCGGAACAGGGCCAATAGGGCCAGTTCCACGAAGCGTGGCAGTGGAAGAAACCGGGTGTTGAGAACAGGGCAGTGGATTGGTGCACTCCTCTTTGTTTCAAGTGGAAGAAACATGAGGAAAAATGAACGGGACTTGAAGTAGAGTCGTAGAGGAACTAGGAGGGAACATGATAACATGTCGTGTCATTTCGTTTGAAGCATGACATAACATGTGAAGTTGGCTTTAGAGCATACTTCCTTTGCTGTAGGTGTCCAACTCTTCGTCTTTTGCAGTCTTTGATCCACAGTGACAGAAGCAAGTTTTTTTGGTATTTTTTGGGGCTTCTACCAACAGTGCATGTTACATGACCATAGAGATCCATGGAGTATGCATTTTGGACACGTTAGGTCCTGGATCTTCTTGTTTTGTTCTCGTTGTGCAGTCGTTTTCATCGTCGGGCAACGTGCCCTGTTTTGGACCTAGTTGAACACAGGTTCAACAGGCGAAGCACCTGGCATTTTGTCGGAACAATGCTGAACTTTCTCGCTGTCCAATACCTTCATCGTTTTACAGGGAACAAAGCATGACAAGAGTACCATGCGAAGACTACATTCCCGAGCCTGGGGGCTCTTTACTTTCCAGATCTTTCCAGTGTTCCACAAGCCATGCCATGGTCCTTCGATCATCTTCGATCCAGTTGGGATTCGGGTCGTCACGTCCCAACAACCCAAACAAACGCGCGACACCCCAACCCTTGGCCTGCTCTACCTGTGCCACCAAGCTGGAAGCAAAGCCAGTATGGAGATAGGTTCCCACATAGCCTGTGCTAGGTCGCATTCAGTGACTGGTGCCGGAAAAGGGGTGGATCCAATCAAGAAAGCTCCTTGACTGCAGAAAGTTCCGTGAGCATCCGTAAGCCAGGTGTGTATCATGGTGTATCTGAATGGGGGTGAACAGCTCAGATTTGTGGTGAACAAATCCCCCGAGAAGAATTAATCCGGCCGACGTGGCCAAAATTGGGTGTTTCGGGTCTGATGCTTTCCAGTGTCTTCGGTTCTTATCACTAGGAATCCTCAACAGCATGCTCCATGCGGGTCAGCTTAGCGGGGTTCCCCCGCTAAGCTAGGTGGACGGCGTTTTTCGGGGTCTTTTTTCCATGGCACCTCGCTTCACGTCGCTCCAAATGGTGGACTCCAGGAGGAAGTCGCGAAGGTTCTGCAAAGCCTCTGGTGTGAAGAAGTCGTCGATCACCACCACCCGGTGCCTTGCACGGTGCCTCTCCCTTTGCATGTGCGCATGCCGGGGGTGTCTGATGGGGGTGAAGGAGAAAAGTCTGGCTGAGAATGATGGATGTCACATGGTGTCACTGACCACTTGGGGAAAATTGGCCTTGTCTGCGACACCAAGACGAACAGCTGCAAACACCGAAACAACCCAAAAGCTGCAAACAACCAAAAGTGTCGTGTCCGCACACAGCTGCGTAGCACCTCTTCGTTCTGAAGTCGGACTGCACCGCATCGAAGTTGATCTCTGGGTTGATGATGTCGGTTTTCACTGCTCCACCAGGGTGCAAGTGCAACAGCCTGCGAGTCAAGGAGTGCATTGCATTCATCGCTCAGATCCAACAACATACAACAACACCGACATCGGGCTTGGTGTTTAAGGAAATGTCATGATACTTCTCTATGTGGTGGTTTGCGGTCTTCTTCTGCAGAGTCATCTGAAGGCCTGTCCGATTCAGTGCCTTGTTTTTGCTTTCCTGTTTGTGAACCCAAGATAAGTTAAGTCTCATCAGCCGATCGAATCTCTCTGGGCAGTCTCCACAGCCTGCCATACAAACCGAAGAAGACCGCCAGGTGCTCGTTCGGCTCCATCATGGCGGAGTCATCTCCGGTTCCTTCCAGGGCCTGCCACGTCCACGTCCGCCGGAGTAGGGTGAGACCATGATTTGTTGCAGAATGACTCTGGTTGGACATGGTTGGACTCAACTTGAAGGGCTTCAGGCTTTAAGATCCGCCGCCAAATAACGGGGATTACTTAGGTGCCCCTTGTTGCCAATCATAAGAACCCTCCCCTGGTGCCGCATTCTGGGGTCTTCATCACCGATACAATGCTGGATCTTTGGCAAGTGCTTTATGATATCTCATGTCTCATGATCTTTCAAGTTTGATGTCGTTCTGCCTATGCCAGCCCTGTGCCCATTCGGTCAATGCGCCCTGCCGACTCGAGTGGCCATGGACCGAGCCAGAAAAAGAAAAAGTCGCCATGCATGGACCGTCACTCTCTCCCTGAAAGGCCTGGTTGACCACCTTTAAGGCCAAGTGGAACTCTGGGAGCGCAAACTCCTTCACGTAGTTCTCCAACTCTGAGTTCATCACCCCTGGCAGGGGGGCGAGTGTTGGAGACAGAATGAAACTTAGTTGATCCATGTTGATCCCAATCTGTCGGTGAAACTGCAAACCCACCCGCGGCCCCATGCGGCTTCATGCGGTTAAAAGAGAACGCCCCATAAAACCCTGGAGTTCTTGCTCCAAGACTGCCACTATACCAAGCTGTCCAAAAAACTACGTTTAAAAAAATAAGAAAAGGTGATGACAATGTGAGCTCAGATGATTGACTTCCACTCAGGCCACAGGTTTTTTACACACATATACAAACTAAAGGCACCCACCTCGCCCTTCCCATCCTCTTCGATGCTCTTCTCGTTCCCACAGCCACCGCAGACAGTCTCCATCCCCACACCGCTCCGCTGGCCTCGGGCCACCAGGTACTCCAACTGTTCGATGTCGCGCTCCACCTGGTGCGGCACCACCTCAGCGCGCGGGCGACACCGGGCGCCTGGCCCAATGGACCGAGAAACCAGCCGAATCCATGGAAGGCGTCTTCGGGGTGTTTTGTTGGAGCCAGTTTAACGCAGGGACATTGGATGAAATGCGAGACCCAAGTGCGGCAACATTCGAACCCTCATGGCAACAGTTGGTAGAAGGATGCCGTCCAATGCACTCGTGGATCCTCATAGTATGGAATCCCATGGAATTTTGCACGGTCCCATGTGGTGAAAACAGAGCTCCATGCCCACCTTCAGACGCACCGACCGGAAACCGGGGGGGGGTCTCGACTGAACTTGGAACCAGGATAAAACCACCAACTGGGATACCCCCTAAAAAAAAGAACTGATGTCATCTGATGTCTTGATATGTCTTCTGCTTACGTCTGCACGCAGCTCTGATCACTTGCTCCCCGTCGACAAACCGGGCTTCACCACCCCAGCAGCTCCCATGGCATGAAGAATGCGAGTCCAAGGGACAAGCACAGGTGATGCCCAGCTTGGAAGGGCCCCGGGCTCTGGAAGATATGGCACACCTCGCCAGAGAGAGATAGATGGTCGGAGTCTGAAGTCGTGCAGGCAAAATCCACCGGATGGGGTTGTTTTCAAGGGGCGTGGGCCTTCATATCCCACCCAAGAATCTTTGTGGGTCTTTGATAGCCAAGCTTTGGAACCCGAAAACTCCAACGTATGTTATACGTTATACGTGTATATATATATATATATATAATCTAGCAATATCTAGCGTTAATCTATAGTAGTGTCTCCAAAATGATTTCTTTCACATGCAGTCATTTGAAGATGAGCCCTAGAAACTGCTGCACTAAGGCCAAGACGGTGAAATGCCTTGAAGATCCAAATCGTTCTTTCCAAGATTCCAAGTCTCTCCAACTCGTCTTAGATTCCAGGTTTCTCACAGAATCTCAAGCCCGGTGGCCACCAGCTGTCTATGTGCCTTATGGATCGGGGACCTCAGCCGCAGCCCACCGGAAATGTCCCGTTCGCCTAGGCCTTGAGCCATTTCCTTGAACTTGGGCAACTTCTTGGCCCAGAAGACCTCGGCCTCCAAGGATGCAAATGATGATGTGCCAAGGTGTGAATGTGAGGGTTCCTTCTTTGCCCAAACATCCCTGAAAACACCTCTCACTGCAGGTCAAGCATGAGCTTGACTGCTTCACCCACGGTTTTGTGAGGTGTTTGGATTGTGACCTGACCCTTTCAACCTTTTGACCCCGAGATTCACAAGAAGCTGAAATCGAAAGAGGCATCTGCTGGTGAAGCCCCTGTCACTGAGTGACCTACTCAGCTTTGCTACCTTCACGTTTGCTCACCAGCAAAGACCTGGTGCTTTCAGTTCCTTCCCCACTCCCCTAAACTCAGAAAAACATCTTTCTTTCTGCCGCCAACTGCCCAATCCCGGCCTCGGAGGGTCGCCGCGCCCGCGCCATCACGGCACCGGCATCGCGGCATCCGGGTGAGGAGGGTCTGAGAAAGGCAATTGGATAGGCCACCTGGCGACACACCGAGACCGAGACTGAGTGACCCTGACTGAGTGACTCAGTGAAAACAGCTGAGTTCACGTGAAAACAGCGAGGCAAGGCGGGGCGCTGCTTTGGATGTTTCCCCGTGCAATCTTAATTAGCCTTCATTGAAGCCATATGTGTCTTTGGCTGCGAACCTATTTCTTGTATTAAGTCATGCAAACATGGACTACAACATTTGCCAAGAATGAATGACAAGTCCAGAATAGCTACTAGAAACAAGTGCATCGCTACTAGGAGCAAGGGCCTTACTAGTATTAACAAGAAGCTATTAGAAACTTACTAGTACCGCTGTTGGCATGTGTTTGACTGCACCGATTGGCAAAGCGACCCTGTACCACAGCACTGCTGAGGGACCCCTACCAGGAGGGGCACCAGACAGATCAAGCCGGGGCAGGTCCTGCATGCACTTCTGCGTACACCACGTCTGACGAAGAGGTTCAAAGATACCGAGCTGCGAAGTCAAGAGCCCAAGATATTTTCGGTTTTGCGACAAAAACTGACTTCTGTAAGGATGTGTAAGGCGTAGCATGGCGTAGTTTCGGTGCATCTGAGCTGGTGCCGGAGTTGATTCATCAATACCCGTCACACATAAATCGTCTAATAACTATTTTGGGCTCCATCACTCTGGACCTGGAAGCAACAAGCAAAATGGTCCTCCTCGCAGTCATCAACTTGCAAGCAAATTTCAGTGGCGCTGCACGCTGTTAGCTCATCAGCGACAACACAGAAAGCAAAGCAAACGGGATGTGCAAAGATTGCAATGGGGACCTTGTGCCAAAGTGTCAATCTCAGGTGTTCAGCTTGTTGGAGGAAAAAACAATGACCAGCATCTGCTACTACTGGGGTAAATGGCTCAAGTCCAAATCATCAAGTTTTGCCTGGAATTTGAATTTGAGCTATGGCTCAAAAAGGTACTCTCCCAAGACCCCAAAGTGGAGTTCAGGGTGCAATGGAGTTTGGTGGACCCTTGCTTTTCGGAGATCACTTCATCTTGAATCTTGAGCATGTTTCAGCTCCATAGGCTTAGCGATCAGTTTTCAGATCGGAGAATATTGGTCTGTTTTCACATGCATTTGAGCCAAGGCAAATGCCATTCGAAGCATCCTCAAACGAAAATGACGCGTGCGTCTGCCATCCATCCACGTGGCTTGGCTTCAGTGATTCAATGTCCAAGTGCCAAATGAGCAGAACACAATGGTCAGCACAGGTTCTTCAATGACTCAACCAGCCCGGGTTCTTCAGAAACCGAAATCACCGGGCGCCCGGGTGGTTCATCGGACACCCGATGCACTCCATCCTCGCCGGCCTCGCCCTCAAAACCGCACAGAACACCCGCTCCAGACATGCCACACCATCATCACAGGTATAGTAGCCCAAAGCGGAGTCTGCGTAGCCGGTGGCGCCCCCTTGGTGGTTCAACAACTTCCGCCGGTTTACTTGCTGAGATTCTTGGAATTTGTGAAGGGTTGGGCCAATTGCACTGGACATGAAGGCAGTTCAAAACTACTGTACTCGAATCTGACCCCGACCCCTTGGCATTCAAAAAAACTGGCAGGCCATCCGTGTTTCTCGGTTTTCGAGAGTAAGTCAGAGAAGTCCGTCAAGTTAAAAGTCATTAAAAGTCAAAAGAGTTGTTTCATGCTGTTCAAAAATGGGCAGGCGTAGTTCAAAAATGTTCAAAAGGAGGAGAGACATGGAGAGACCGCCCAAAAAACAAGATTGAGCAAGAAGCTACTAGGTGGAGGCCATCGCTATTAGGTTGGAGGCCATCACTACTAGTAACAAGAAGCTCCTAGTAACAAAGGGCATCGCTACTTGGAGCAAGGACACTACTAGTAGCTCCTGGCATTGCTACTAGTAACAAGAAGTTACTAGGTGGAATCCCACACGAGACCTCCCCAGAAAATGGTTTCCTTTCACCTCCGGTGCTCGTCCCTCGCTGAGACACCCAGCGGTCGCCCTGGCGAAAGGCTGGGCAACAGCTGCTGTGAGATGAGCACAGCTTAGGAGCCAGGCCCATCTGGTGACACTCCTGACCGCCAAATCGAATCCTAAGACTCGTCGAAACAAACATAATAATGGTCTGCTTGAAGGTCAAAGGCCAATCTTCGTACTACTTTCGTGATGCAAGTACACCTCCAACTAGGAAACATCAAGGTTCCTACTTACGTAGAGAACTATAAAATCTTATTACTCCCGTTGGCCTTTGTAACAACCCCTGTGGCAGGTTGTAGCAAAACTACCTCCAACATCCACAAACTGTTGGAAGGCGTCGCTTGATTACGAACCGCCTTCCACACTTGTTGCCCCGCGGCTCCTGGTAGCACCCAGCCAACTGTGGGCAGTAGCTGCGGCCATCACAGTATCGGTAGGCATCATGTGCCTCGTTGCAACCTGAACCGGAACGAAACTCCGGTCGAATGCTCCATGACTGGGCGGACGATGATGCTACGAAGACAACCACCAGACTCGTTCGACTCGTTGTTGGGGCTTTCAGGTGGAGCGTTCTACGTCGATGTGAAAACGACTGGCCGTTCTACCATCGGTCTCCGGTGCGCTGCGTCTTTGTCTTCGTTGTCGGACTCGTCGCGAATGCTTCGGATGCTTCGATCTTTCGACGAAATGCTGAGGCGAGCACCTTTCAAGCAACTGTTGAGGGAATGCTCCTGCTTACAGCAGAATCTCAGAATACCAGTACTTACAGAAAAGACTTTGTGGATTCGTAGCCTTATTACAACTTATAGTCTTATAGTAATGCAGCCTTGGCCTCCAACTGTTGCTACAAACACGGTGAGGCGCTCTGCTGTTGCACCACACGGAACGACTTTCCTTTAGCATCAGGGCTGGACATAAAGCTTGTGAAGGACCAAGTGACCGGCCACGTATATCTTCACTGCAATCAAGTGGCGCAGCGGTAGAAGTCGTCCATCGACTGGTTGAAGGAGTCCACATCCCTGCAAAGTTCCCAACGGCCGGTGCTGGACGGACTCGCTGAAAACACCGTGTGTGGAGTCCTTCCAGAGCTCCTTCGTTTCCTTCCACCGTTGGAGCCATGGGATGGGGGGAAGACCAACGGATGTGTCAAAGTTTCGTCGCTGAAGTCATAGTTTTGGGAGGGATGGTCATCTTTCTCCAGCATGAAGGTTCGTAAGAGTGGCACACCATCATATATAGAGGGATTGTCAAATGAGTTAATCAATTGTACGCATCCCTCAAAGGATGAGGACCGTAAGCCAATGCAAGGGTCGAAGACTTGAGCGAAACGATCCATAGCACAGTAAGCCTGCGTGTCTTGCCCCTTCGCAGCGAGTATAGGCCCTGAAACTCTATATTTCCCTCTGGTCCAAAGTCGATGGAAATCATGAAATGCTACTTGAACTTGAAGCGAAGACATACATGATTGCGAGGTCACTTTGATCCTTCATGTGTGAAGTCACATGTCACATGCCAACCAATCTTCAAAGATTTCAAGCAGCCCCCGGTCTGCCTGTCCTTCAGAATGGAACTCCCCAGACGAGGGACCCGTCCCTGAGGTGCCGGACTTGGGACAACAAGGCAAGCTTCTGCATGCTGACACGTGCTTGTTGAGGCGGCACGCCTGGAGATGCCGTGGCTGTCACACTGCAAAGGATCCCCAATAAAATGGTTGAAGCATGCAAGAATTTGTAAGAAGTAGATAGAAGTAGGTTGTTGGGAGCCTGGTATGAATCCACTGATAGATCTGGTGTTTGACAGTTTTCCAAAAGGTTCCGTCCTGCCTCATAGCAGTTGGCCAATGGTGGACAATAGGTCTTGCCTGAGCGCCACAAGTCATCACTGGCTCCTGGATAGCACTGCCCCAGATTGTTCACTAGGATACAACTGCGGCAAGCAGACTCCAACAAAATCATACAAAATCTAACTCTGGAATGAGACAAGACTCCATATGGGAAGAAGGCGAGCCTAAGTCAGCCTGTCTTACGACAGACTGCGTATTTCCAAAAGTCAAAAAAAGCAAAAATTAGAGCCAAGCCCCTAGCAGCGTCTTTTTCCCCTCGGTCCCTGGCCATCGCCCCCACAGCGGCGAGATTGAAAGCGAGAGTTGCACCTGAGCGCTTCGCGAGTGCCAAGCCGAGGTTGGGAGCGCATGATTGAAGGCAGTGGCGTTTGGCGGCAGGCGTCCGTTGGGAGCGTCAAACAAGACTGAGGATGTGTCAGGGTAGAAGGGTAGAACCCCATGATGCCTTATGATGCCTATTCCATCCGGAAATTTCTCACTTGGATGATCTTGGATCTTGAAATTTCTCAAGCAACCATTAAGAACGATTCTGTGAAAGCAAATGTCAAGTCGAACTGACCAGTGTTGTTCCTTTCACCACCGACTGCACCCTACTTCACATGCAGTCTGAGCTGCACGCTTGTCCATGCATGCGTTCTGGGTGAAGCCGCAGACCTCAGGGCCAATGCGTTTGAACAAATACCATCGACCAGAAAAGGAGGCCTTGTTTGGGGTCGTTCATCGACACCATCACCAACGAAGATTGTTAAGACTTAAAAAGGTGCTGCCATCTCTCGTCAAGAATTCCCGAGAAGTCGCGAGCAAGGTGCTTGCCCGATGTCTCAATCTTCTTTGTGTATCACAACCTCAACCATCTACCCTTTGCATCGATTGCCTTCGCTCAAGTGCATTCATGAGAAATTACTGTAGAATACTGTAGACGGTGAAAGAGTCTAGAGTTCTGCACAAGGGACTCGGCATGCATCCACAGGGGTCATCGCAGTCCTGCCTACGCGGCTGAAGAGCCCCACCCCACGGCTCTACATCCTTGTTCTCGCCCTGTGGGAGTTTCGAGCCGTTCCGCCCTTCTGGGCGTCGTGACGTAGTAGTTGAAGGACGAATCATTGAAGTGTGGCTTCGAAGCACCTTGAGGGGACATGGTCTGAGCTGTCGAAAATGTGTGGAGTGCAGTGCAGAAAATGGAAACAGCATGCAAGATCGATAGAAACAACGCTTGCTCCAGTTCCAAGTCAATACAACTGTCTTTGCAAAGACCAGCCACCTAATGACCCTAAATGTTGCAAATCCAGGTCAGGATCCACAAATAGTCAGGATCCACAAATAGACTCTTATTTGGGATTGGGTGGCGTTCAAAACCATCCAAACACACGAGCGCCCCAAAGCTTGGCCTCAAAACGACAGCCCACTGGGCCACAGACTTGGACAGCAGGATGATTGCCAACAAGCCTCCGAATGGCGACACTGCTGGACTCTGGATTTGAGGCTTCAATGCGAGTGGCTTCAAAAATGTTCAAGAGAAAAGCTCAAAACACTGATATTGCATCTGAGATCTATGCAAGTATGTATGCAACATCATGCAAATCAAATTGTCAGATTGTCTGTCCGAAGCAAGTTGAGAGTTTGCATGATTGGTCCAGTTGAGGAGTTTCGAAGCGACAGGAGTGGAAACTCCTTCTGATCCAACATCTGACGGCGTGTCCATCTGCCCATCATTCAAGGCATCTGATCCAACTATAAACGTGCAATCCTGGTTGAACTCACCAGACAGGCGGCAGCTTTCATAGCAGTCGGCGAGCCTTAGAGTGGAAAAAATTGGCCGTGCTAGCAGCTCGACAAATGCATGGCTCATCTCAGCATCCAGGAAAATCCTGGAGGGTTTCACCAAAAAAACTTGTGAAATCATTGCGTACTTTGATCCTAGGAAAACATTATAGTCATACTGTATGACTATGATGTTTTCCTAGTCATACTATAGCCCATGAAAACCCCTGATACTCAGATGTTCGTTGGAACCCCCCCAAAGACAAAAAGGTGCCATCCGACCTACCTTAGACGCGCACGGCCCACAAAAGGCCTCCCCAGAACAGCTGGCATCTGCCACAAACCTCAGAAACATCTGATGCTGGTTGGATCAGTTGTTGATTCAGGATGGACTTCCTTTGCACATGCTTGCGTTTCCTATCTGTCAGGCTGTGTGGGGTCTGCGCTCCATACCATCAACGATTCCCTCTGCTCAGCTTGTGGCAGTCGCGCAAGGCTCGGAGCCGCACGTTCCTTGGATCCCCGGTGAAAGCGCATTGGGCTCTCAAAGCCCAGATACAGTTAATTAATGCAGGATAATGAGGGAAACAACCAGGGCTACATGTGCTTTTTCAGTGCACATCGGGATGAAACCGCGGAACGTCACAGACGCTCACTGCAGCCATCGCTCCACATCCCAGCCAAGCTTCTCTAGCAGTCATCTGAACCACTTGGATCGGAGTGCCATCAAGCGCGAAGTCGCCTATGGCCTGTGGTCTTAAACTGTTCAGGAGTCTTCCGGGGCATGTCTTCAGGATCTGTCATCACAATATCTCTCAATCATATTGTAATATACAATGTCTTCCACATTGATTGAAAGTGATTCTAAATCATTTCCCTCATCGCGCAGTGGCGACAGATCCTGCCCACGCCAAGCCCGCCCAGCCCGGCTGCCGGCCTCAATTTTCAAGCACCTCCAGCCACCCAGGCAAATGGCCTCAGACCACGACAGGACAGGCGTGGCACGGCCGGGCCCCATTGCGCAACCACTCCCCTAAAGGACTGCGTGGCATGGCCGGAACGCAGCGCGAACGCACCTTGCAGGTACCGAGATGGAAGCATGCACTCAAACTGCTGACTGGACGTCAATCACACCCCCAAAACAACGGACGCAGCGGACTGAATATCTGACATTCCCAAAACAACGGACGCACTCCTGTCTATTGCCATGGTTGCTTCGAAAGCTTTGTGAGATGTTACCTCGACTCATCAATCGATCGAAATGCCAAAGATCTCTTGCTGTGGAATGCCCAAACTGCAGCTTGAAGCTCTCGGTCTCACCCCATGGTCCCCTTCAAATTCCTCACTGTTTGGGACAATGAATAATTTCCCCATCCTGCACGTATTGACACCCAAAAAAACGCGCTACGCCGTGCTGCCATGCGCTGCTGGGAGATCTGCCGCGCCTTGAAGTCTCCAGAGCTGATCAGTTGCCCAACACTGGTGCCACATGAGGCCAGCGAACAAGTGCCACCGCCTGGCAGAGGATACACCACCGACACATGAACAGTTTGGCACCCAACAGGTGTCTGTTTCGTTGAATTTCTTGGGATTCCTTGGCCGCTTCACCGCTCAAAAAACGGAGCGCTGAAAACTTGTGCTTTGCGTCTAGCAGCGTCGAGTTCATTGAGCTAGTACCAGACCAGTACTGAAACTGGAGATAAACAGGAGGTCACACAAGACCATGAGTGCAGATGTTCTGCCTGTGTGCACGGTGTGTTTGGCTGAAGACCGTATCTCCGCCGCTGTTATGTTTCTCCTCACTGGAGATATCGAAATGAAAATGAAGACATTGTTGGTCCGGCCCGCACCTACCTCCTACCCAGCACTCAAGTGCTAGAGTTTTGTCGCCGGTCGCAGAAAGTCACCCGGCCGCATGGGCTACGCTATGTACCACATCCAAACTCGAAACTGCATAGGTTCTTGCCTAAGCCGCGACTAAACAACCATTTTGGAGCTGATTTCTTGTTGTTTGGGTGTTGAATCACCATGGCCACGCTTACTTGAAGTCATTTGTCCTTCAGAAAACATAAATATGAGTTTAACATGAGACACATACAGAATCTAGGAAACATTTGAAGTTCAACATTCATGTTAAAGCCCGTTCCATGAACAGAGGTTTCGCAAGTGCCCTGCGAGTCGCAACAATCCAGATCCCATCTCCCGGCTCAAATTATGCCGGCAAAAGACCCCAAACAGGGTTAGAACGAAAGCTACCAAAAACTGGCACACATATGTCACATATGAGAGCACGCGCATGAGAGCACACATATAGGACCACCCACATGAGAGAACCCAAACGCTTGCCACGAAAAGCAACCACCAAAAATGTTTGGGGAACGTATGCCTGCTCACGCTAGCATAGCGAAGTTTTGAAATGTATAGCGAGACACAGATCCTGCAAGGCCACGCGTCTTCCAGACGACTTACTACAAGACCAGGCGACTGAGCCCCTGGTACCAAGTACTGACCTATTGGCCATATGACCTGCCTGCCCTCCCTTCCTCCCGCCCCGTGCCCGAGGTCCGCCTGGGGAACCAAGACAAAGAGACGGATGCCTCCTCCATCGGATCCTGATCAAAACTCAGCGAATGAAGCCGTTAAAGGCCGACCAACCATCAGTTGCATGGGATGAGTGATGGTGTGAGTAAACGGTAAACTGCAGACCATAAATATAGCGCTTTGAAAAGCCACCCCGCAGCACGAAGGAGAAGATAGGAGAAGCAACCAAATGTGAGAGTCTATGAATACAATACCAAAGAATCATTGCAGCCACAAAAAACAATTACTTCACTTCGAGTGATCCACACTGATGACACTTCAAAACAACCACGTTGACATCAACCTTGTTGTGCTTTTCGCAACCCAGGTGCTTGTCAGTCCAACGTCTCAATTACACTAAACTCTATATAAACAGTTTCCCTGTCCTGTCGCATAACCCAACCAAACTATCACAACCACTCCAGAATAGACTTGTCTTTTTACCGCAAGCCACACATCTGCAGAGACACGTTCATGATGACTTTGTGTCTATCAAGCGCTTCTCTACAAGCAGTTTCTAACCTATTTCTTACTCAGATCATTTCACCTGGCAGCGATTGCCGGCTGAGGTTGACAAAGGCATATTCAGAAGCTGTCTATCTGGCGCTTGTGCAAAAGCAGGCTATAGACATGACAGTGGACCACGTGAATCATAGTGAGAAAACAAACATGCCAAAACATGTCAGCACGCCGCCTGTCAAACATTTATGAATAAACAGGACTGATGTCAAAGCGATTTGAGTAAACAGGAGGCAAACAGGCCAGTGGGCCACCTGATCCAAAATATTTGCGAACAAACAAACATGCCCAAGCATGTCAGCACACCGCCTGTCAACGTTTTTGCATAGACATGGGCAAAACATGCCAGTGGACCACCTGAACCATGGTCAAAAGCTTCCAAACAGCAAGCAAACATGCTCAAACATGTCAGCACACCACCTGCCAGAAGCTTGTGCGTAAACCAGCCACAAACAGGCCAGTATGACTTCACCAAACCGCTCGAACTGCAATTCTCTTCCTCCGATTAGGTCCCACAGGCAGAGCAACATGTCAGGACGCTTGCAATGCATCATAGACAGGCCAGGACTGCAGTCGCTCCAGCGTCGAAGCAGCTTTGGCTTCCAACTTGTCAGTCAGTTCTCGCAGGTAGGTAGGTGGACCTCTGCGTAAAAGATCCTCCACGGTGAACCTTTTTGCGTTTGCGGCCACGTGCCAGCATGACATACATGGCTAGCCGCACCGCGACGGAGCGGGCGGTCGACTCCACAATCAGAAACGGAAGGAGTGTAAGTTTGTGAACTCCACCGACCCGTTCCGCGGTTCCTTGACCGGTTCATTGTTGACGGCCGGGGCCCCTCAGCACAAACTTGGCCTCCGCACCTGGTCATTTTCATGTGGGCCTCAAGTCTGGCCTCACTATGCAGAAATCCATGCGTCGCGCTGTCCGGGCATCAGTCGAATTGAAATACGCTGCGTGAGACTTCCGTGTATGGACGCTGTTTTGGTGAGACAACGCAAAAAAAGTCCTCGAGCGAAGAGTGGGAGAGGCGAGCGACTCCGATGGCAAACCAGCAACCCAATGTGTGGATAATGCGTGGTATAGGAGGTGACACAGCGGTAACATCGAGTCGCAGTTGGGGCCACGCTGTTCGATGTGGTTTGGCGCACGCCACAAGTCGATTGGAATGATAGGAATAGAAACTCAATCGTCGGAGTCGTCGGGGCCGGCTGGCTGCAACAGTCCGCCGCGCCAGTTGTTCCTCAAAGGAAACCTCTGGCGGCAAGGTTCCCCAAAGGATGTGGTCCGGCACGGGCCCCTCCCACTCTTCTCGTCAAGTAGCAAACATACTCTTGAATGAATAGTCAAACGCTTCTGCAATTTCGCACTTGCATCGCAACCCAACTCGTGCGCACAATCCCCGTCCAATGGAATCAAGTATTTCTCTTGGGCCAATTCTTTTTCGTAACTGGAATACTTCCAAGCATTCCCACAAAGTAGGAATTTGCATCCTGCAATTTTTTACAGCCTCTGCAGGGCAAAACAATTTGCTGCCAATACTGTTTCCATGCTCTTGGAAAGGCATCATATGGATTTTCGTGTTCTCCTCGCTTCACCTTTTAATTTGCCTTCTCTGCATCCAGAAATATGGCCCTGCAAGGGTCCAGCGGATTCCCTTTTTCATCCATGTCATTGTTTTATCCCAAAGGCTTGAAGAGCAGCAACTTGATCAAACTCATTTTACGCAGGTCTACATCCGGCGAGGGAATATGCATACCTTCCAGCTGTGGAATCTTTGGGATCAAACTGAGACGCTGTGTCTTCACTAACGCAGATGGTTTGTAATCCGCATCGTAGTCGAAGCTAATCACATAGTCTCCCAAAGGATCTTGACTGGTTTGCTTGCGTGTACCATAAACCCACTTTTGACCGTGTTCAGACCTCCCCTTGCATTGTCCAACTACACTTATATATCTAAAGACTATGTAACCTGTCCAATCTTATTCAAAGCAATGAAAACACTTCCAGTCGGTTTCGCTACTACATTCAGAATCTGTCCGTGCCTCCGTTTTTCTATCATTTTGCTGCTGTCTGGGCATGACCTGTCGGATCTGATTCACATTTCACATGTTCCTTGGAGCAGACATCGGCTGTTGCGCATGACAAGGCAAACTCTGTTTCGCACTTTAAGAAGATCCACCCAACACTTCCTCAAACTACACCCCTGCACAGTCTGCTTTCACAAGTCCCTTTCGCATCCGCGCATACTCCGCGCCTGTGCAGCTGTCACAGCCCAGTCACCCTGCGCCATGACCTGGAGAAGAAACAGATCAGGACAAGGAAGACGAGAAGGAGGAAAAGGACCCAGAAGGGCAGATGCTGAACATACAAAATCCTGCGAATTGAGGTCCGCTGAACTGCTTCAAAGCGCAGATTGCGAAGTGATATGTTATATATGCTTTGTCCGGTATGCCATCATCGCAGTTATATGTAACATACATGCTGTAGCACGTTGCCTGTGTCAAGTCTCTCTGCAAACAGCTGCGCCAACAGATATGGAAATGCATCCTACCCCAGTCACACTGCCATATCTTCGAACTGATTGTTCCCACACTATGGTGCGTTTGGTGGTTCTCGATTTTGCTTGGGTCCTCCGGTTGTGCGTTGTGGTTGTGCGCTGTGTTTATGGTTGTGTGTTTGTGGTTATGTGTTGTCGTTGTGTGTTGTGGTTATGTTTGCGATGTCTTTGTCGTTGTGTGTTTGTGATTCTGTGATTCTGGTTGTGTTTGTGATTGTGTGTTTGTGGTTGTGTGTTTGTTGTTCTGTTTGTGGTTGTGTGTTTGTGGTTGTGTGTTTGTGGTTGTGTTTGTCGTTATGTGTTTGTGGTTGTGTGTTTGTGGTTGTGTTTGTGGTTGTGTGTTTGTGGTTGTGTGTTTGTGGTTGTGTGCTTGTCACTGCGTGATTGTTATTGTGGCTGTGGTTGTGTTTGTGGCTGTGTGTTTGTGATGGTGTTTGTGGTTGGGTGCTTGTGGTTGTGTTTGTGGTTGTGTGTTTGTGGTTGTGCGTTTGTGATTGTGCTTGTTGTTGTGTGTTTGTGGTTGTGTGTTTGTGATTGTGTTTGTTGTTGTGTTTGTGGTTGTGTGTTTGTGGTTATGTGTCTGTAGTTGTGTTTTGAATTGTCTGTTTGTGGTTGTGGGCAGCTTTTTGTTATGTGTTTGTAGCTGTGTGTTTGTTGTTGTGTTTGTAGTTGTGTGCTTGTTGTTGTGTTTGTGGTTGTGTGTTTGCCGTTGTGTGTTTGTGTTGTGTGCTTGTGTTTATGTGCTTGTGGTTGTGTTTGTGGTTGTGTGTTTGTGGTTCTGTGTTTGTGGTTGTGTGCTGTGGTCGAGGTCCGGCAGGGAACACTGGGCGTGGATGGTCGTGGTTGAGGTCCGGCAGGGAACACTGGGCGCGGATGGTCGTGGTTGAGGTCCGGCAGGGAACACTGGGCGCGGATGGTCGTGGTTGAGGTCCGGCGGAAGAGGACGAGGAGGAGAAGGAGAGGAAGGAAGGAAGGAAAGGAAGGAAGGAACGAAGATGGGGCTGACATAAAATCTAACAACCCTCACCTGACAGGTGGGGAACTATATAATATTCTAGCAAAACACCGCAAAAAAGGGGCCTATCATGGGCTATCTATGTCCGACAGAAATCTGAGCCGTTCCCGAAACCCCTTCACAGCAGAACTCGCGCAGCACACCAAGAAGGGTCCATCACAGCAGACCCAGCATCCATTCTTTAAGTAGAAAAGGCTGCAGAAAATCATTCGAAAAGTGCCTCTACCTGGTTTTACCATGTTCTACCATAATCAACCGTGGCTTGGAAGATGTTGTTTCGCCGGTCATGTCAACCGTCGTGTCCGGTTCTTTCCGACCGCCTGCCATCCGAAGAATTCCAAGCAAACTGCCTCGGTCGGGACTCGGCTGTTTTTGCTCGGAACTGCCAGGGGAGGATTCGGGTCTGAGGTTATTCAGGGGGCATCTTAAATTAAATACAACTCAATACCTCCAGCCATTGGGGGGTCCATCTACTTTCTCCACAACAACACCAAATAATGCCAGGGTGCCTCGATGTCAAGACAGGCCTATAGAACCATACCAGTAGGAAGTTCTTAAAGTTTGGATCCCCCCCACATGAGCGCGAAAGGGCGGGCTAGAGATCACCCTCTGTGAGAGGTTCACCCTATGTTCAAGACAAGGAAGTAAGCAAGTGTTCGATTTGTTTTCACGAGTATCAACGAATTTATGTATCAAATCAATGCACAGTCGAATTTGCCAAATTGAGTTGTATAGCCATCCTTCATTGCGACAAAACAATTATATACATGCTATAAGGGAACAAATAAATTTATCTCATGAAAACCTGTGCTCCCTGCTGATTCGGATGCTCTGCTCGACATGCCCAAAGGCCAACTTGCGCGCCCACCACTGGCTGGCCTCCTGCGGACACAGGTCGACTCTGATTGCATCATCTTTGGACAACCGTACATGTCGGCCCTCAATCATGGTGTTGTGGCTGCAAGGAAATATGTCGAATTGCTGTAAAGCTGTTGGCATCAGGCCTTGTACGTCAAGGCATTTTGATCCGTCACCAGCCCACCTGGCTGAATCATCACACACTGTGCAATCAGCGAGCCAGTGCGAGAATTGAGCCATATGATTTCCAAATTACGTCTCTCCTGTCCCTGTTTTTCCAATTACATACGTCCATTGACGTCTCTCCTATCCTAGGACAAGTTTTATCTAATTGTTTACTTCCATGTGAGTGAGTCGGAGTTTATCCTGTTGCAGATTCTAGTTCCACTGGTAAAAACAAAAGTAGACCAAGACCCAAACCAATTGGCCAGAGGGTCTTCCTCTTCTCACACACACCCACAAAACTGCAGTGGTTCATAAATTCATCAACTCAATTAAGTTGCAATCATCACCTGCCCAGGGTTGCCTCATCGGTTCCTGAAACACCGTCGATGCCCCCATGTTCAACCAAGAAAAGCAACAGTAGTTTCCTCCAGGCCTATCTCATTGCATCAACGGAGGAAAAACTAACGGTCCCCCCGTACCCACGTACCCAATGGAAATAGTTGAATTGAATCCAAAAGCCACTCATCAAGGTCAATGGCAGAATACCTGTCGATCCTCTCATCCTCGATCCTCGCCACTCTCTCGATCCTTCGGCCAGTTTGGCGTTCAGAAGTTCTGCCCCGCCGCACCGGTCGACCGCCTCAAAGGCCCTTCGTAGCTGGTCATCAGGCATCATGGGGTGCATCTTTGGCACCCAACGAGGACCCAACTTAGGTGTCAAAGAGAGCCAGCTTGCGATCACCAAGCCAGGTTAGTCCAGATGGCTGGGAATGTGAAAGACACCAAAGCAGACTAATGTCATGAAGGTCCTTTATGAACTAGCCCGTCATTATGGTATGGCCAGCTCTTTGCCCCGAAAAGTCCCGTGAGTGGACTACCCAGACAGGATCAGAAAGGTCTTCTTGGCATTGGTGGGGTCCGGTGGTTTGGTGCAGTGGATTGCGGTGATGCTATGATGTTGAGACAGCTTCGTGCTGAGAGTTTTACAATCATCGTATGTGCTGGGTTACCCATGTGCAACGCATGTGAAACTCTACCTTCAGCACAATGGCTACAGTACGTTGAATTGGAATTCGGGATGCACGAAATGAGCGGTGCAAGGTGGTTGATGCAAGTGTCCAGTTGAACAGCCTCTGTAGCTCTTTGTCTGATTTTGCTCGAGTTCTGGTTCGTCGTAGGGCCGTAGGGCGGGCCCAAAAATGGCTGAACGACCTCAATATATGAAGAAACCATTGATTTGGTGTCAGACTTTGTCTCAAACAGATTCATGTCCATGTCTTTCACCATCTTTCACCATCGTCTTTGATGAACTCCTCAGGCCAATGAGTTTGTTGAAGCGTTTGGTACATGAGCAGAAGCCAATGCTCCTTAGCTTGGAGCTTAGAATGTCTCCACCAACATGGAGCGAAGGTTGGTCACTTGGAGACATTCCAAGAGCCAATCGGCTGGAAGGCAAAGGCAGAACATGGAGGCCATATGAGGCCATGTCTGTCACCGTAGAGACGCGTCACCAGATTGGCCCCGTAGAACGCTGAACAGTTTGTCATGGCCCGTGTGGTGGAACCCGGTGATGGCCTTGGTATTGGAACCATAGAGTGTTCACAAGCAGCTGCTGGGCCAACACAACGAGAAGCTGCTGGGCAACCTGCAACGAGAAGCATCACTCGTAGTAGATGAGAGATATGCAGCTGTCTTACTCTCATCAAACAGTGACACTACCTCTAGCGCTGCATGTCAGCTGCCAACAATTCCAGCTTGGCACCTTCATATCTCAGGCAGTGGAGAAAGGACATCTCAGTCCGGGATGTTGGAGACGGCCTAACCAGCACTAATTATCTCTATATAGGTCTCGCATTAACGAAGCTCTCGCAGACTGTCTATTTGAGCTCAGAAGCTCAAAACAATTGCAGAAATCACTGCGCAGGAAACACCGTCCTCTTGATGAGCTTTGCTATTTTGCTGATAATGATGCAAAGAGCTCCCTTAGCGTCCAGGACTACATAAGTTCAGCTTGTTTGGATAAACACGTTCCCGCCTCTGGCCTTGGGGCTTTCATGTGCGTTCTCGAGCATCCCGAAGCTCCGGAGTCAAGTGGCTCCGGCGCTCTGCAAGGCCTGACCACGCGGGTCGCTCCAATTTGAGCAACCACCGAGCTACTTATGAGTGCGCACTGGTCACTCATGTTGAACTACAGTTCACATGCAAACACAACACAACACGGATCTCATCACTGCCTGGTCGTTCTCATACCTGTCTTGAAGCAAACTCTACATTCCTGCACGTTGCAGAGACAAGTGCAATAATTGCTCGTGCAGAGTGCAGTCGCTTGTTGTCCCTGGTAGTCTTCCAGTCTTCATCTGCGGGGTTATCTCAAGCAGTCTCAGCTAAGTCTCACCCAGGCGTACATCTTATAGATCATCCAAGATCATCCAAGTGTGCCAGGGGGTGGTAAACTGCAGGGATGCACCAAATCTCTACACGATTGTCTCCATGGCGGCCTTAATTTTGGTGTCCTGTCCAAAACGGCCTTAACTCCACAGCTTCCCGCAACTGCGCTGCATGCCCCACTGAAGCTGCTGTGGACCAGGTCTTGACAGGGGGCTGGCTCAACCTGGCATGAGACGATGACCAAAAAGGAACCACACAAGTCGATGCAAGTCTTCACAGAGCCATGATGTGTTCACGGGGCAGCATCAACATCAAGGAGTTTTGAGCATCAGTCACACAAGTGTTCTTGCACCCCTGCCCCCGGTGCATCAAGCTGACCGTTTTCAGGCTCGCCATGTTATATCAGTTCGCCTTCCCTGTGAAATGAGGCCATTGCTGAAACGATGCCAGGATCAATCCATTTCTCTACTATACATAAGGAATCTGTCTGTCAACTTCTGGCACCAATCACGTCTACCTCTTTCTCATCAGCTGATAGAACCTCGGCCTTCTCGATATGCTCATCAAGGTTGTCGAGCTCCCCTTCCAGCTGCGCAGAGTATGCGAATCTCTGGGTGTCTTCATTTGGACACCACAAGTACATCACAGCAATCAACACGATCCTCAGTACTCGCAGCATAGCGGGCAAAAACAAGCAAACAAATGCTAACAATAGCAACAACAATGACGGCAACATGAATGCAAACGGCAAGGGCAACAACAACCACAACCACTATTTTAACTTTCACTCGCTCAACAGTGTTGGGGTGCCATCTTCATCACTGCACTCCACTTGGGAGGATGTTTGATCGTAAAGCTCAACACGCGGCAGCCTTAAGGCCACCCAAGTCAAAATTATATAAAAGAATATCATATTATATTTTTATATAGACTAACCTAATAGCAATAGCCTCCAACCTAAGAATGATGGCCTCCAACCTAAGAGCGATGGCCTCCAACCTAAGAGCGATGG